TTAATTGTGTTCATTTTATTATTGAAATAATTTTAGTTTTATTATTTGAATTTTATGAATCTCTCAATATTTATTTGTGATTTTTGGACTTATAAAAATACAGTTATTGTTCTTACAAAGTTATAAAAGTTCAAATGTATATTTTAAATTTTTTTATTCAATTTTAAAAATAATATATTTTTTTTATACTATTCCATGGGAGCCCATAATACACATGGGCCCACCATGTGGCTTGTGGGTGGGGGCCCACATGTGTCACAAAAAAGTGGCACCCCCCCACCCTCTTTGGATCATCTTGTTTGCTTTTAAGATAAGGTTAGTTTGATTTGTGGCATGTGGTCAAATCTTGGAAGGGATATATTGACTTTTAGCAAGTTTGTTTTAAAGAGATATGGTCAACTTGAATTGATATGGATCTTATCTTATTTATATTTAGTAGTATTTATCTACTTGATATTATTTGACATATCCTTATGAAATATGTGACACAAATCGTGTAATTTTATAGAATGGATGATATTTATTTTATTTAAATATATTGATGGAAAAATGGTTTAGGAAATGGGGATAATGGTTCATGCACCTTCCATAATGTTGATGGCCAATCTATGAAATGGATGGCTCAGATATCTTACCCCACAAGTCACAATGATGGCTCATCTATGAAATGAATGGCTCAGATCTCTCACCCCACAAGTCATCTTTGCTCGACGGTCTATGTTCAATCTCACAAGAAGAGGTAAGCTAAGGAAAACCCTAAGAAACCCTAATCTTATTGAAAACTTATAAAAATATATTGTCTCTACCCAAAAATCTCTACACTTTTATCTCTTGTACCTAATTCTCGTATTTCTCTCTCATATCCCAAAAAGCGGGCATAATTTCTCTCTCATATCCCAAAAAGTAAAAAAGCATCACTCTCTCATGTTTGTTTTCTCTCTAACATTGTGAAAGAACTTAAGGGTTTAGGTTATGGAGTTTTTCTCTCCTATCTCTCAAATATAGATTTACAGATTTACAGCTAAGGGTTTTTTTTTAGCAAAAAAAGAATCTATCTCTCTCAAACTAGATTGCTAAGAGAATTCACCTAGGGTTTGAGTTTGTGATTAAAGGGGTTCATGTTCTATTGGTGTGGCTTGGCCAAAATTTGCTTTCCCGATTCGAGATTGAAGCTAGACCGTTGATCCCGCGTCATCGGATGGTGATGACTCTGTGTAGGGTGTAATAAGCCCGGTTGAGGTAATCTCGAGCACTCTGCTTTTTTTATTTCTTACAATCTTATCTTTTATTCTCAAGCATAGTGCATAGTTGTTTCAATGACATCAAATTGTTAAGATCTTGGTTTTATTGCTGTGTTGATTTTATTTTGAAATTTATCTTATTATAGTAAAGACGACCTGTAAGTGATATTTTGCCAAAAGAAAAAGGTGAAAAAAAAAAAAAAAAATAGTATTCTTCGGTAAAAGATCACATAGGTCTTTCTTTCATTATAGATCTACTTAATTTGAACCATTTCAGAAGTTTAAAATTTTATAATTAGATATAAAATTAGATCTTCATGTGATCCTAAGAATTTTTGACACCACACTTACATTTATAAAAAAAAATGAAGAGGTGCGCCTTACTTTGATTGTTTAAAGTTGCAACCTTTTGCAACCAAGCTTCATTGTACAGCAACTCTTTAATACTCAACAAAAGACGTTTATGTGCAACGATGTTATAAACTTGTGACTTCGAGGGCAAAGACTATGATCAATGCATAAAAGGTTCACGCCAAGATGAAGAAATATTTCTATAGTTTTATTTTTAGGCTGCATATATTAAATGTATTTGTGTTTTTACAATATAATCACAATCACTTTTAATTGTCGTATATAAAATCAGACCGCTCTGAATGTGCTATTGATCACACATAAATTTTTTCATAAACTTTGCGACTCGAAGCAAGACTTTAGCAGCATTAGGTTGATTTCCATCATCCAAAAATGAAAAAATTTCAAGATTTGGACAACTAAGGAAATTAATATGGGAAAACACACACCATTGATTTTCAACTATCCGATTGAACTTCATCTCAACTTATAGCTGACGGCTATGACTATCAGCAAGTATCCAATTGCGTCGTCAACGATGGTGTGTACTTTTCCACACACAGGTGGTACACATTATGTACACTTCTTCAACCAATTATGATTTATGTATTTAGGATATGCATATACTTTTCCTCAAGAAATTGGCGAATTAGCGGGGGACAAAATTAAAAGCCCATTTGACTAAAAGAAACATCATCGTCCTATTGACTAAAACAATGGGAACCCATTTTACATTGTCAAAGGCGCGCGGCGCATTACAAATCAAAGCAAAGACCTTCTCACACGGTTGTGGAATTTCTACGCGTCCCGAACGATTTTTCAATTTTGAAGAATAACATTTTATGGTCCAGCAGGAACATGTAGTACATTTGCTTCTGATGACAAAACCATAGGATCACTTTTTGTGGGTTGCAATTAGCATGAGGCATAGGCTTTATATCAAAGGAAAAAGTTTATATAGAGCCTAGGTACTAACAGAGCCTACTTCCAAAATTTCACTAGAAAAGGTTGTTTTGATGCTCAAATATCCTCAAATTGATCATCTCAACATCAAGATGTATGGATTTGAGAAAAAAATGGATTTCAAGTTTCGGAAATAGTGCATCTTGTAAACCATTTTTGGATAGTCGATTTTTAATTTATTCAAGTTTTTATAGATCTACTCAATTTGCACTATTTTTTAAGCTTTAAATTTTATAATTAAAGAGAAAAATATAATTTAAGGCTAGTCAAAGATTTCCGGTATTGAAACCACATTTATGGACATTATTTGAAGGTGGGCTCTAATTTGATTGTTTAGAGCCTTGGCTCTATACAAACCGCCCCCTATATGAAAGGGATCCGGTTTCTATGCGGCCAAGCCTGCATATATAGAAATGCTGGCCTCTTAATAAATCTACATTTGAGATGGATTTTAGGACTTCATTTTTAAGGACATGTAATCTCTAACATGGAGATCATGAACATATAATAAAAAAAAATTAAAAATCAAAAACTAAAAATAACAATTCTAGTAAAAAAACATTAGGACCGTTAGTTTCTATTGTTTTTAGATGGAACACCTACTTGCATCCATCTTTAAGATGGATGCTTTACACTTTCTAGACCGCATCTGTAGAAATGCGGTTGAGCCCGCATGAAACAATTTTTCATATCAAAAGAGTAAAGCCACATGTCAAAACCTTATGGGAAATAGCAGTTCCAACATGAAAAGCTCCATATTAACTCATTTTGGTCCATGTTTATGAAATTTGAGCTTCCAAAACTAGTGCAAATATGATAGATCTATAAACTTGCGGTACAATATTCTGAAAGGATTTGTTTGGATGTACTCATTATCACTGATAATTCACTATCCACTAAAATTAATCTTGATAGTAAATTATCATTTGTTTTGTAGTAGGTAAAATTATGTGAGATAAAACAATTTTATATGTGTTTGTCGTTTTTTAAAGTTGTTTTTACTCTATTCGAAGTACTTTATTGAAAATCACATACTTATAGACGAAACAGTTAAAAATAACTGTACCAAGAATGTTAAATAATTAAATAAGAGTACATGTAATACAAAGTATGTACCAACAGCTATATAATATTATGCAGAATATATTAATTTGATATAGGATAATGTGCATATAACAAGATTAATTTTCATCTAAACAGGCTCAAAATCTTAAGAATCTTTTTAGACTTATCTCCTAATTGGCGAAGTAACCTGGATTGCAAAAGAAACGAGGTCAATAACCTTTGCCTAATTATGGATATGTACTCTACTTTGCAAGTTTCTTTTGAACATGTGTATAGGGAGGCAAATTCAATTGTCAAAAGCCTCGTGCAAGTCTTTTTTTCAACATGTATATAGGGAGGCAAATTCAATTGCGGATAGCATTGGAAAGAAGGGTGCGACTCTTCAATCCATTTTAGAAAGGGTGCGACTCTTCAATCCATTTTAGGGCAAAATAGACAATTACAATGTATACTATTTTAAGAACTTGAAAATATATACTAATTTTAGAGCTTGAAATCCAAATTTTTTCGATGAGTTATCAGGTGAAGCTTTACAAGTTTTGATAAGGTTGCAGCCCTATTGAACAATTTTCCTTTCCTAAATGCTTTCCAAATCGCGTAGAGATGAACAACAAATACCTTGGTATGTGATTACCAATCTCAAGGAGACGGAGGAATCGCGTGATTGCAATCATGTTTTTAGACAAGCAAATGAAAGAGGCATATGTGTTGGATAGGGTGCTTCAAACTCTTCATTACTTGTAAATAGATGTTGAGTAATAACCTCTGGTAATTTTGCATAGTTTGTAAAGGAATTGATCCGCATTAACCCTGAGAGACAGAAACTAAAGACCATTTTGCCGCTTCACGAGCCGACCCGCTATTTAGCCACAATGAACCTGCATAGTATTTTAAGGCCAATGGGTGCGGTTTGTATAGAGCCTAGGATCTAAACAATCAAATTAAAACCTGCCTTCAAATGGTCTCGAGAAATGTGGTTTCAATACTGAAAATCTTTATGATAGCCTTAAATTATATTTTCATATTTATTTATAAAGTTTAAAGCTTAAAAAATTGTGTAGATCGACAAATCTATTAAAACTTGGAAATCTAAAAAATTGAAAGTCCAAAAATGCATTACAAAATGCCTTATTTTCAAAACTTGAAATCCTTTTTTTTTTTTCTTTTTCTGATGTCCATGCCGAGATTATCTATTTGAGGATATTTGGGCACCAAAACGACATCTTCTAGTGAAATTTTTTTGGTAGGTTCAAATTTGATTGCTTTGAGATTCGGCTCAATATAAACTTTTCCCATTGCAAATTGGGTACAATCATGACATCCATCGATAAAAGGAACGGGCAGAGACAACAGAGTGCCACTATATAAGTGAACAGCCAAATGCGTTGAAACTCCAAGATACCTGGTTATTGGAACCTCAAGACTACGATTGTTCAATACTCATTGATACAGATATTTAGTAATCACGATCAGAATTGCGCAAAAAAATATCTTTCTGGATAAAAAAGGGACTTTGTTGAAAGTATCATCAGATTGATGCATTGTTTGAATGTTGCATGGGAGTGGATCATGAGTTTCAATTATGTGCTACAAAGGAAAATTTGCAAAACAAGAGTTAAAATGGTTTATAACAAAGGGAACATATTTGGTGAAGAAGACAAACGTGCTGTTAGAACCTCCACGCCAGATTCGGTTACCTGCAACATTGTTAAGAGATGAATTTATTTTTTATGTACTCATAATGTACTTTGTTTTTTCAAATAGTGTTTGTTTATAAATCTCCCTCAATAGTAAATCAATTGGGCATGTTTGGTTCGCATGAAAACATTTTCCAAAAAATATTTTCACGAGAAAAAATTCCTTCGTGTGATTGGATGCAAAAATATTTTCATATAAATTCACTACCAATTGATGTGAAAAGATGCATTGAGACCAATTGGTGTGAAAATATTTCTATATCTAACCACATGATGGAATTCTTTCATTTGAAAATATTTCTCGAAAAATATTTTCACACGAAACAAACATGCTATTCTCATATCAATTATTTGATGTACATAATCTTCATTCATTTGTTCTTTCATAGATACCTGTACATAAATGAAATCCGACATCTCTCACCAGGAGTGAAGTTCAAAAAAGAGTTAGAAAGGGGAAAATTTTATAAAGTGTTATTTGGGTGATTTTGTTGGGGGAGGATAATATTATAAGTAAATCACATAAAATTTTCCTTTCTGGTTTAAGTAATCAAATATAAGATCAATATAAGACCTTTTAACGTTTGCCCAAGTAAAACTCATCCCACAAACTAAATTTGGTTGAAGCTACATATGAATACCAAGTTCTATCATAGAGACTTGGAAAATCAAATGCAAGAGCAAAGAGAAAAAGATACAAGTAAAACAAAAGAACTAAAAGGTAATTTCTAAGAAGGTTTTTCAGAAGTTCTTTTAAATAATGGTATGATACAACTACGTTTGATTTTCTTTGAAAAATGAAGCATCTTTAAAATTAGGGTGTGGTTTGCATGAGGTTCCAACCTTAAGCAATCCGATTAAGGCGCCATGCACCTCTAAATTTTATCATAAATATAATTTAATATAAAAAATTCTTAGGATGGCTTGAGAATCTATTTTCATCTCTAATTATAAAATTTTAAACTCCAAAAATAGTTCAAATCAAGTAAGCCTATGAACATATGAAAATGGACGGTCCGGATAATGTGTTGCAAGACACGCTATTTCGTGGACTCAAAATCTTTTTTTTCTTTTCATATTCATACATCTCGATGTCGAGATGATCTTTAGAGGTTTTACAACATCCAAACAACCTTCTATGATGGATTTTTGAGACGCACCTTTAATTCTACATTTTGATGTTGCAACCTTATATAAATTTTTTCCTTTAATTTATTTTGAAAATCACACCTTTTAAAAAGATGTTTCTTAGAAAAATAATCTTTTTGAAAACACACTGGCTCTAAACAGTCTTACTAACTATGCTAAATAAAGCTATTAACAGTTACATGTATAAATAATGAAGAATTGACCAGCGTCGCTGCAATTACTTTGTATACTTTTGGGAAATTATAAAAAAATAGACCTTTTTTAAATTATTAGAAATAAACCCCAAATTTTTCAAAACCTCATCCATACCCCTTTTTTCCACTGTTTGCATTTTTTTAATGAAAATACTCTTCACGGTAGTCTTGGATCCATGAAGGCATCACGGTCGACCCAGAACCGTGATGGTCGTGGCGAAAAGCCTATAATGCTCTTAAAGTTCCAATACCCAAATAACCATCACAGTGTTTAAAACGTCATGATGGTCAAGGGAGATCACGGTGTTTCAAAGGCCGTGATGTACAAAGAAAGCATCATAACACTCCACAGACTGTGTTGATTTTAAAGTTCCAGTACATTCGTAACCATCATGGCGTTTAAAATACCGTGATGGTCAAATGAGGCATCACGGTGTTTCAAATGTCTTGACGTACAAAGAAAGCATCACGGCATTCTACAAACTGTGATGATTTTAAAGTTCCAGAACGTTCATAATCATCACAGTGTTTAAAATACTGTGATGGTCAAGGGAGGCATCACGGCCGTGCTGCTCTATAATCTCTAGTAACCCAATAATCATTATGGTGTTTGAAAGTCCATCATGTTTTTAGTTGACAGTGATGCCTTCATGTATTTAAGACTACCGTGAAGGGTATTTTTGTCAAAAAACGCAAACAGTAGATAAAAGAAGTATGGATGAGGTTTTAAAAATTTTGGGGTTTATTTCTAATAATCTAAAAAAGAAAGTATAGTTTTGATAATTTCCCAATACTTTATCTACAATCATACTATTATCGGATCATTTTCAATATTCAAATAATTGTTGTTTATTCATACGGAATGTCAAGGAGAACGCAGAAAGCCTTCCAATTAAACATTGTTAAAAAGCATTATAAATGAAACTGATGAAGCCTATCCATTGTACTAAGTTATCTTTCAAACCAAAGGCAGGATATGTAAATGATATGACTACTCACTAGGAGGGTGTGTTCAAATTGGGCACTTCGCTTGCCATCTGCAGTAACAGCAGTCCATCCATCTGGCCACATTCGATCACGCCAAACTCCTACAACAGAAAATTATTTCTCATTACACAAAGGGTAAGAAAGCTTTCCGTTTTTCTTTTTCTTTTTAAACCAAAATGCAAAGAAAGTACAGAATCTAGAAGAATGACCTGCATTTATCATTGGCTCAATTGTAAAGATTTGCCCTGCTTTCATCACCCCAACTGCTTTATTCTCTGCTTCATGTGAAGGACACAATGGCAAACATTTGTAGGTAGATAGATTGAGAAGAGGTAAAAGCTCATATGCATTACACTACATTAGTCATATGATGCTGCGCTTTTGTTATAATTACTTTATTGGCAGTTCCTTTAGGCAATGATGATGTATTCAAGGGTTTCTGTTAAAATGATTAAATATTAAAACATAGAAAAATAAATAAATATGAATGCATTTTGTTAAGGACATCAACTGATGGATACTTCCGTAGTGGAGAATGTTCGGAGCACAATGAAAAAGCTCCCCAATGCCATGACCACAGTAAGATTTCACCTGATTTCGCAAATAACGGGGTAATATCATGAGGATCAAATATAGAAAAGAAGAAAAACAAAAGATTCAATATGCATAAGATTTCCACAAACAAGACGCATTATAGAGTCGAGAAGTAACAATATCATCATTACCACCGAGAACCCTGACATCAATGCATGCCGATTGATAACTTCCCCAATTTCACGAAATCGTACTCCTGGTTTAACTGCATTCAAAAGAACAGCAGCCAAATAAACAGAAAATTACACGTAGTACTTATACACTATCATCAATTTTGAAATCCAACAACAGATACGACTTACCAGTCAAATAAGGGAAGCTAAAGTTTGATGCATATCTATCCACCAAATAAATAAGTACTGAACTACACATTCTTCATTCCCGTTTATTTTATGGCAGCAGGATTTGGAGAAGGGAAGTTCCAGTATGTATAGTAATGTTTGTGATTTGTAACCAAGAAAATATTGTACAGCCCATTCAGAGTGTAAGAGGTTCTTGATTTGCAACATGAAACTTTTGTATGGGAGAGAGGAGGAGACATTTGATAAACATTTTCCTTATTATGCTGCTCCTTTTATAAAACCAACTTGTACGATGAGGACAGAAGGAAGAAACAAACCAATGGTTCTCAGTCCTTTTTCTTGAAAATGAGACAGGTTAAAGCACAACTTTAGGATGTGGTGACTGGGAATAAATGCAACATCTCATTAGACAAGCTGGGGGAATACATTTCCACCATATACCTATAGATATTGCTTTCTCCAAGCACTCGTATGTACATTGAATCAGTTCTTGAGAAGCTTCATCCGTTTTCCCAACAATATATGTCTCGTTGAGATCACCTACAAATTGGACGAATATTATTATTATAAACAAGTTTTGCTGAGTATGATTCAGCCAACACATTCTTATCACCTACAAAAGTGAACAAATGCCACTAGTATATATACTAGGACCATAGGAAATTATTGTTAGATACCATGAACACCGTTATAGTAGACTGATACATCAACATTTACAATGTCCCCATCCTCGAGTCTCCTGGAAAGGAAAAACAGCAGATGAACTTCGTGGCAACTAGCATCATAGACCAAAACTACAAATCTACATAATAACTTGTGGGATTCAATAATCTTTAGCAAACTAGATCTTGAGAAAATAGTGGTACTTCAGCATTCATAAATTCAGCATACACCTGCATGCTTGTGTCAAAGATTTCATAAAATATTAACACGTGGGACTTTACTACATGCCCTTCCCTAATTTTCTAAAATCCATCTCCTTGAAGGATCATACACCAAAAAAAAAAGAAAAGGAAAAAACAAAGAGAACCTGACCATTTTGAAAGGATTAAATATAATATGGCAAACTAATCAGTTGTTGCTTTTAAATAGAAACGTTGTCTGGCTCTGTAAATACTTTAGCTCATGAGGAGACACTTAGGGACATGAATTCCATAAGGGCTTGTTTGGTTCCCGGTAAATGGGTCTCCGGGAGACTCATTTCCATGGATAGCACTCATACAAGGCATTTCTGCATTTTGGTTGCAGTCTGGAGATAGGATTTCATTCTCCATGTGGATATCTGTATCGATCTTTTGAGGCCAAAACATGGAGATATGTGATCCACCAAAATAGTAATCTAATAATTAATAGATATAATAATTAATATATATTCTAATAATTATATATAATAATTATAAGGAAAGAGTTTATATCAACACTTTAAAATGTAGAATTAATGTGCACTTCTAAAATCCTTTGAAAAAAGTTAGTTTTTGATGTTGGAAAAACATCAAGTTGATCCTCTCGACATCGAGATCTACAAAAAAAAAGAGATATTCAAGTCCTAAAAATAGTACATCTTGCAACAATTATCTGGATTGTCCCTTTCCAAGATTTTCATACGTTTATAGATCTGCTTGATTGGAACTATTTTTGGAGTTCAAAATTTTATAATTAGAGAAAAAGTTAAATTCTTGCAGCATCCTAAGAATTTCGACACCAAAGTTGCATCTCATGACAAAGTTTGCAGGTGCATCTTAATTTGACCATTTAAGATTGCAACCTTATGCAAACCACACTCTAGTTACTATATATATATATATATTATACAATATTATATTAAATAATAATATTGATATATAGTATTAACGATACAATAATTATATATAATTATTAATTATTTTATATAATACTAATTATATAATAATATAATAATATATAATATTATACAATCATCATCATCATCATCATTTAAACCTTACCCCAATGATTTGATGGGTGTTGAAAAAGAAAAGACTCTCAAAACACTACATCGACATGGTGAGAGATGTACGAGGGAGCGTTGATTAGTGTACGAAGAACTAGTGGAGAGACGAGTGAGTTTTTCAGTGATAATAAGTTTACATCAGGGGTCAGCATTGTCTTAGTTGTAGACGACTTAACTAGGCACATACAAGATGAGGTACCGTAGTGCATGTCGCTCATGGATGACATAGTTTTGATTGATGAGACCCAAAATGGTGTCAACACAAAGTTAGAACTTTTGAGGGATGCTCTAGAATCTAAAGGTTTTAAAATTAGCGGGACTACGACAGAGTAAATTGAATGCAAGTTTAGTAATAATAAGAGTAGAGAAGAGGAAGTAGTTAAGATTGACAGCCAAGAATACCAAAAAGAGCACACTTTCGATATCTTCGGTCAATAATCCAGGAAAATGGAGACATTGAGGAAAATGTCATACATAGAATTAAAGCTGGGTGGGCGAAGTGGAGATGTCCAATCAGAGTTCTATGTGATTGCCGCATACCAATGAAGTTGAAAGGTCAGTTCTATAGGACAACTGTGAGATCAACTTTATTTTATAGGGTGGATTGTTTGGCAGTCAATAAACAATCAAACAACATACCCATAGAATGAGTCTAGCTGAGATGAGGATGATGAGATGGATGAGTGGAAAACAAGAAGGGATAGAATTCGAAACGAATACATTGGAGAGAATTTAGGTGTGGCACCAATAGGTGCTAAGTTGAGAGAAAGTAGACTTAGGTGGTGGCCATGTGTGGCGTAGACCCAGTACATCACCTGTTAGGAAGTGCGAGTTAGTTCAAGTGGAAGACTCAAAAAGGGCAAGGGGTAGGCCCAAAAGGACATAGTTAGAAGTAGTCCGAAAAGGTATAGGGACTTATGGCCTCATTGAGGGTACGACTCTTAGTAGAGCGGAATGATGAACCAGGATATCAACCCCAAGTAGTTGGAAAAAAGCCTCTATGAGAATGATGAGATTAAAATATAATATTATATTAAAATATTATTATCAAGGTTTGAAAAAACAGACAGGTCTCCTGGATCGTCAATCCCAAAAACCGGGTCAAATCGATGGATTGATAATCCAGATTGGAGAATTTGTCGGATGGGCAAAATTTGGCATTAAAATTTTTTTAAGAATTTCTTTAAAATCTAGTTTTTGGTTTTATTAAAAAAGTAGTATTCATAAAAATATATTTTTATGTATTTCCATCAAACCTTATTGGTGAGGAGTTTTTTAGTATTTTGTTGAAAATACATAAGTATTGAGTTGTAGTGATTTCCAACAAACCCAATCCAGTCTTAAGAATTGTAAATTTGAAAATTGAAAACATGGTATCTGATTGAAGCGTCTGATTCTCTCTGATAGAACCGGTACAGACTGCTCTGAATCAACCGGTTTTGGGAGGATTCGGCTAGATCACGATATATTACAGGATCCACAACGGGCAGGGCAAAATCCGATCTGGATCAGGCGATTCCGATCCAGATCATCGATTTTTCAAACCTTGATTATTATGATATAATAATGTTAAAACAATACAAACAATGGACATACATCTTCCAGGGTTCTTATTGAATGCTATCCAAACAGATGACACCCATAGTCCAAGAGATGCTAATTCTAGGGAATACCAATTTCAACAGAAGCATCTCCTCAAGACAAACAATTCCAAGGAACCAACGAGGCTTTAAGATGAAGAGTGAAGAAAGAGGCAATAAAGAGATAAGCTCAATTGCTCAAAGGGCCTCCAAACTACAAAAGGATTAAAAGATTTGGCAAGGCAAAACCCAAGCCATATCCTTTCCAACATTCTTTGTTTAACTCCTGCAGGTGATTGAACAATGTTGACTAGGGTTCGACTTCCACTTCCCCACCAAAGTCTTTCAATCAAGTTCTAACTTCCAATAGAAAAATGCAATAGATATCCGAATATCAGACTCAAAATGCAATGATAGAAGTGATTGGGTTTGTTGGAATCAACTCATCAAAAGACAACCTCTTCAGTCTGAAAGACAAATCTTTTTGTAGTGTTGTACTTCCATTTAAAATACTTTTGTTAATTCAATTTCCTAAGGACCTCAATTAGGTTTCAAACACAAGATATTAGAAAATAAAGTGTCTCACATGACATTATATCCTAATTTATGTTGGAGCAGAGTTATATGGATTGCACATGATGGTGTATACCTGGCATCTGGAATTCCATGGCAAATAACCTCATTAATTGACCTGCAAAATTAGCAAGAACAATTACATTTTCTATCAACAAAAAGGAAACTACAGTTCTTTAATTTCTCTGTAATTGCCTAAGATAACTAGTGATATTAAAGAAACAAAATACCAACGTGCAACACGACTTTGGGAAGAAATGATAGTTCAGGGGTGATGGATATCCGCCTGCACAAACAGACCATTCTGCTCAGTGTTGAGAAGATTTCAGTAATCTAAAATCATGAGTAAGAACTACTGTCTTTGTTCAATAATGAAAGTGTACCGCCTGCTTTCCAAGGAATTTGACAGAAATTCAGAGAATATTTAAAGGGAGATTACTCATTGAGAGGAATACAGGCAAATAAAAACCTAATGAAGCAACAAAAGAAGATTAAGAATACATTGTTATTACTCATTGGCAAGGATGAACATGCAACAATTTAAAGAAAAGCAGTCCACATCGGGCCTAGGCCGGTGTATCAAAGGGTAGTGGGTGCCTAAGCTCCATATCTAGGCCGATGAGGTGGGCCCTTAGGCAGGTACCCGCCATAGTCGTTCTTAGCAGAAACCGCCCTATGGCAAGGGTGAATGGGCCTTTTTCTCTGCTTTTCAGGGGGAACAATTTTTTTTGGCAGGGGGTAATGTAATCCCTGAAAACTATTTAAGAATTTAAAAAAAAAAGAAAATCAAAATTAGAAGTACTCTCTCTTTTTTTTAAAAAAGATAAAACAAACTCAAGAAGTTAGAGAAATCTTCTCAAATTTATTTTTTTGCATAGGATTCATAAATGGAGGAACAAAATTCATGTGGCCGACCCCAAATAATTGGGATAAGGTTCGGATGATGATGATGATAGAATTCGAGAAGATATTTGGATTTTGAATAGGCCATTGCTATTATCTTTTGCTCCTTGTAGTTGTTAGTTCAATCTTTGTAATTGTTAGTTCAATCTTACATTTATCGCTTTACAATTGTGAAATTTGATTCAATAGTGAAGAGTTCTCCAAGGAGCGATTTCATGCAACGGATCTAAAGTAATATAATGAAGCAATATTCAAAAATCATGTTAGGGCCATTTCTTTGACAACCATTTTTAATATACACTCTTTTGATTCTAATGAACAATCACATAAAAGCAAAATTTGAAAACACAACCTAAAAAGTACTTTTTTTGCCCAATTAATATAGGTCATCCATTTTAGTGAGACACTTAGATCTAGGCCTTAGAAGGATCTTTTTTCTTTTCAAAACTTTTAGATAGCTTTATTATTATTAAATTAAGAATGTTTTAAAAGAAAAAAATAATTTTGAAGTCATAAACGCTAGCATCTTGAAATTCACCAAATGGACGGTCGGCATTCATTTTTAAAGGGGACTCATGTTGACCATATCTAGGGTGCAAAATTGAATTTTATTTTTCTGGTATTGATTATTCGGATGAAGATAGTGTGTGCAAAATTCAAAATTTGGGGTCATACCAATGCCACAATCATGATTTTCTAGAAGCATGGTTTCATTATATTATAATAACACGGTGATCTCATTCACCTATATATATATATATATATATATATATATATATATATATGT